GGGGGGGGGGGGGCGCGGGGTTTGGAAGCTGTGAGTCGAGAGGGAGGCAACACTTCCAGCTTTCTTTACGCTGCACTGTCTTCTTTCCATGGTGGGTTTCTTTTTGTCCCACAGAAGCGGCAGCAAAAGCTCGGCCTGTGCGGCCCACGCGAATCATACGGTGGCCGAACTCCCGCTTTTGACCCGTTCCTCCTCCTCCGCCTCGCTCCTTCCCCTTCCGAGGACGACTCGAGTTCATTACGCAGAAGAAAGTTAAGATAAAGAAACCGGCAAGTTGTAAGCTGCTTCTGCATGCTGCAATGTTCCCGAGCTCGACGTGTTGCGTTCTTAGACGAGGTGTTCGATCTGTTAAGTGTCGGTGCCAATTTAGTGGGGAAGGAATGCTGGGGTGGGTGATGTAGTTCACGGGTTTTGAGCACCGGTGTCCCATTTCGGCGGATATTAATAGCTACTGCAGGCGACGAGGAAACCTCGCTCAGTCAATCGCAATAATGCACGCGGAAGAGGCTGTCTGAGCCATCTTGCAGAGCAGCAGCAGAAGGCGAGTCGTCTTCGTCTATTGTCCCGCGTACACTGTTCGTGAGTCAGCTAGTCATAGGCCTTGCGTGAGTTCCATCAGGACGCACTGATGCCCCTCAACTTTAGTAACAGTTACCTTCTCGCTCTCCCTCTCTCTCATGATGAGTGAATGTCGTGAGCCTTGAAGAGCGTTGAGTTGGCTGCCATGCATGTGGTCGAAAGAGATAGATGAGACAGGGAGGGAGAGAGGACAGGGATGGGCCTACCGCCGTGGAGGTTGTGCAGGGGCACTTCGTATATGGAGGTATCTGAATGCGGTTGGGGCCATTTGCATGCGTTGCGTGATTCATGGGGAAGGCATGATTGCGCTGTACAACGAACACGAGCATGTTGAATTCTTGGCTGACAAACAAGCAATAGATTCTTCGCTATGATTGAGTCGGAAGGTTTGGGCAGAATGGCACACCGGTGCAAACGCTCCCCACGATAAGCCTCACGAACGTAGCAGCATGAGGGGCTTCGAACAGAATGACGGGAGTCGATGATCTTGTTCTGTTGTTGTGGGAAACAACCTGGAGCCGTGGCCTTGGGGTCGACACGACTGGTTCGGGTCCGGATGATGGAGGATCTCCTTGGGACGTTTCTCGAGACTACTGAGCTGGTCGATTACGATGGTCCGATCGGGACGGGGTCGTCGTTTCCTCCGGAAAGGAGCTCCTCACCTGGGCGTTTAGCGGGATACCTCGACCTTCGCACCTGCACAAAGGTCGGGTCGGGGAGCTCGGCCCGACCCCTCCGACGATCAAGTTAGTATAAGGTGAAGGGGGTTTCTTTTGGTTCGTCTTCCTTTTCCCTCAAAGCGTAAGGCTTTTTATAGTAAGAATTACCGTTGCATGATGTGCCTGCCCGTAGGGAGCATGATCGTACTTCTGATAGTGTCTGACATTACCGTTGGCGTGGCGTGAGAGATCGAGCCTGAACAGGGTATTAATGTGCCTCGGCAAGTGTTCCGGTCCGCGTTGACCGGGTGGCTCATTAAGTTGACAGAGGCGAGATGCGTCACCTAATGCAGCTGATGTCACGTGAAGGAATGAGATCAAAATATTAATCATGCGAATAATGTAAACAGGACATTCATTTGACTGCTTTTACCTCACTGATTTAGGACAATACAACACTTGCATGCATGTCCGAGGAAATGTATCGAGACCCACTAGCCGGAATCATACATTCCCAAGCAGAGGCTTCTTCTGCTTCGGGGCATCGTCGAGCACCTGTCGATTCTTCTTTGGCATAGATCTCGACAAGCCCCGGTTTCCCCATCGCCTCTGCTTTCTTGTGCCTCAGGATCAATATATCACCACCTGACATGCAAAACTCAAATTAGAAGATCTTAATAACTGCACAGCACAGGCTGCCGGACATAATTTATGGCTACCTACATTTTAGAGAAACTGTCTGAAGCCTTTTACTTCACCATTGGCACTTCAGCTATGAAGTCTCAGTCTACAAAGGAGAAGAACAATACCAACAGAAAAAGAATGAGAGACAACGCTAGAAAACAATCTCGATAGGCCTTCAGATGAACTTATAATCAAACAAACATAACGGTGGTTTTGATAAGCTCTATAAGGATTAGAATCTACAAGTTCACCTTCAGAAGTTTGCAACTTATGTGGCATCCCCTGATTTACTCAGAGGTCAGATAAATAAATACCTAAAACATTATGTAGCATTATCACCTTCACATGCGCTGTCTTCCGAAAGATGAACCTAAATACCATTCTATAGCATTTCCTCCATTTTATTCAGTTTCTGCACTGAAGAACTGGCCACTAATGTTACATGGATTAGCAATTGATCTGGAAAACTATACCAATCAATATCCGTCAAGTGATCTCATAGAAATCGTAAGTTATTGAATGAAACCTCTGATTTATCACATTATTATGTAACCATCCGTGGAAAGAAAAACATTAGCACTAGAAGAGCAAGGGAAGCAAAGAACTTGCTGAGGTTTAATGACAAAACCTGTTCTGATAATGTTAATAATATTTTCCTGATCAGGTCAACCAGAGAAAAAAAAAATTGAAATTCCGACAGCGATCCGATTGCTAAATTTCAGAATCCCAGTCATACACAGTTGTCCAGAAACCTAATCCATGTGATGGTATTGCACAAGATCAACAGAAAAGATGCATTGTTTGTATGATTTCTATTAAATAATTTTAAGAGCAGAAAATGCATTTTTAACTAATGAGTTGCTTTAGAGAAAGGATCCCTACTACCAAACTGAAGAAGTCTGCTCTGCAGCTCCAGACCAACTCAAGATCCATAAAAGCTTGATCCACAAGAACAAACTGGAACTCAACTGTGTTGAATTCCAAGATGATTCCAAATGAAATAAAATTTTAGGAATTAACAAGAAAACTAACCTGTTGAGTATTCGGATCGATGCCAAAGACTTTTGTAGGGCTGCTCGTGACCCAACTTCTCTTCTCTTCGAGTGTCAATTTTTCCATCAGATCTTTGTTTGTGTATTTGAGGTTCATACATAAATGTAACAGTTGCAGCAGGTGATCACTCGGGATGATCCTTACCAATCCCTTTTGTAGCAACTGCCTTAAGTTTCAGCTCTTGTCCACGACGCAACTTCACAATGATTACACCGCTAGTAACAAAGCTATGATCATCAGAAGCAAAAGATAACATCATCAGGGAAAACAGTGAAATAAAGGCGTCTAAGTACATGTTGGAGCTGGCAATTGGTAAAGTAGCAATAGTGTAGAAACAGCACAAGGATACCTACCATATTAGTAGATCCAACAACAATACCATCTTTTAGCACTTGGAATTATCTGTACCTCGGAATGAACAATACATAATGATAACATGATGGCATAAATTAGGCTTCAGTCCTCGCACCATTATGATAGCAACATGTCTGACAAGTAAATGATCCACTACATTGTAGTCATACAAATACTAGATAGAAACCTTGAGAAAATATTTATGTTTCTCTCAATGACAATCTATGGATCCAAAGAGCTACTGATATAAGGAAGACATCACTGTATGGCATAGCGAGGCTACTATCCAAACATGACAATTTTGGTCTTGCAACTTTAATCGTACACACAGAAATTTTAGTCCTACCATAAACACAAGAATAACAGACTATGAATAGAACAAAATACATCCAGAAACCAACTACAAAATCTGATTTTTTACCAATTGTCGATCAAGATCCCAACAACATCAGAAGCTCATCTAAATTAAAAAGAACTTCCACAATATTTAATTCACACATTGTGTTTCAATTTCATGTTTCTTCCAAGAAATTGACTAAACCAGGAAAATGGATTTTCTCCTCAACAACCACAGTGATAAAGGAAGTCGAAACATAAAAAATTAGATTATTTTGGCCATGCAATCCACCTATGATGTCTAAAGGCTCCACTAATATCATTATCATCACAACAGAAGAGGATCAAAACCAGAGTCTTACGGTGAAAGAGGTGACATAATGCTCTACATCGAGTAGCATCATCCTCAAGTCAGAGTATATGCAACAGAAATTAAATTGATGATTTACAATTAAAATTCAGACAGAAATGAGAAAATAAAGTTATGAGCCCCAACGCTAGTGACTGTAATCATATACAACCAACAAGCATTCTCTTTTTTCAACCAAGAATCAAACATAGTTATAACTTGAGCAATCACCTTATTATCACCAAAATATAATACAACAAGATGACAAAGCCAACAAGGCCAATTTAGATCCCTATTTTTCTGTGTCTTCGCCAACCATTAAAGCTTCTTTTCTTATATGCTTAGGAAGTTGCTATCTAATCTCTTCTAACAAGACACGGACTTGGCCTTTGATACAGCCGGTACATAATGGTTTATATATATCGGAAAGCTTTTGCATCCCTATCCCCTTCCTGTCCATGAAACCCAGATTTTAAGATCTGTCAATACAGAACAATAGTCCCAACAGAAAAGGTTCACAGAGCTTAAATACACCAATCAACAGGAAACGTGCCTACTCGTTCACTTAGCTGTGAAACAGCTTATCATTTGTCACGTCCATCGATGACATAACGATGGGAAAACGTATAGCGCAGACATTGTGATGCAAAACACTGTGCAAAAATGATGAACTACATAAAAGGAGCGGCGCATAGAACTAGGGTTCCAAGACTTGGGAGGTTCAAGACGTTCAATCCAAACCGATATCATTTGCATTAGGCGTCCCACCCGCATCTTCCTAAAATCTTTTCGTAGGTTTAAGGGTTTAAGCATGAAACACAAAAAGTCGGGTCTAGGGTTTACGATCTGATATACTAAAAGGTGGGAACGAGGTCGAGTAGAATATGATAGGGAGGGAGAGTGAGTACTTCTGCTCGGTGGACGACGGGGCCTTGGCGGCGACGTCGACGGGGCAGACGCGGGGGTTGGTTGTGTGGAGGTCGGCACTGGTGACGTCGAGGGTGTGGTCCGAGTCGGAGCGGACGCTGAGGAAGAACTCGACGGAGCAAAACTCGCAGAAGCCATCGCCGTCGCAGGCGTCGCAGTCCCGGGAGAAGCGCACGGGCATGGCGTCGTCGCTGGTGAGGGGAATGAGGCCGAGGCGGTGGGCGATGAACTCGTCGTCGAGGACGGAGGAGTTGACCTCAATCTCCACCGGCATCCCTTTTCTCACCTTTCCCTCCCTTCTTGTCGCGTCGCTACGTAGCCGCGATGGAAGATCGTCCGATGTTTAGAAGGGTTACCTCAAGCGGACACGTGGCCATTAACGAATATCAAAGCATAGATTATGGCATCAGCCTTCCATTTTTTTTTGGGTCCTCTCTTTGAAATAAGACCGGTGAGAGCTTTGACAAAATTGAGGCAGTCAGACGTTTCTGAAGCACTTTCCCACACCAAAATGAAAGGTTTCCAAAAATAACTCAACTTTCAGCTTGAAGGACCCAACCGAGAGCAGCCTACAGCCACCGGATTGCCCTATCTATTCTTGATGACGAAAGTCAAACCTAGAAATTTATTAGGACTCATAAAAGAGGCATTAGTTTTAACAAAAAAGTCATAATTGAAGGAAAATATTGGTGAACTCACGGGTCATGATCGAGGAGTCAGCACGGCTCGATCCACGGATCGATGCCCGAAGTTCCCGACACTCGAGAGTACGTCTCTCGATCGATTGGAGGAAGTGCCGAGATCGAGCTGGATCAGAGATCGGGGTGGTCGCATCTCCAATGCGTGATTGAGCCGATTCGGGGGGAGCCGCATTCCTGCACACAGACCCTGGGTCAGGGATTCCCGACTTGGGCCCCTCGTAGATTGAGTAAGTGGTTTGTTTCCTTTTTTTCCACCCCCGGTTGGTCAGATGTCGGTCGGGAGCTTTTATACTATTGTCCGAGGATCGATCGTACCCGAATTTGGCGTATCGATCGACCCCCCGAGTAGCGAGTTTGTACCTTCGTGCGACCGCCGTCCGGTATGCGCGGAACGACACCACGCGATGTCGTCCCAAGCTTTCTGAGGCGAGACTTGCCGAGAGGACACCTTCTTGTACGGGCTTCAGCTCGGCGTGGGATGAAGGCGGCCCTTGTGCTGAATCAGGGGTGTGACGTGGTGCCTGATCTATGTCTCGAGGGCCCATGTTCGTGATGACGTGGCTCATGTCCAAAATATGTTACCGCATTCAGTGATCTCCACCCTCCTAAGACCGGTGCATTGGAGTCATTGCCTCACTGGTTAGAGCCAACATCTTGCATCAGAGGGATCTCACTTTGACTTTTTGTGGTTGCGACAATCATTTCGATGATTTCATAAGATTCACAGGGAATTGACAATGATAGCAAGTATGCAACATCATCACTGGGGGTAATTTGATATAGTATATTACTATTATATTGGTTATCCGAAATCAACTTGGAAATAGATTTAAACTCATTTGAAAGATCAAAATTCACAACAGAATGTTTTACGATAAGTGGAATATAACTTAGTTAAGGATCTTTCTATATATTAATGGCTCTGTCTCACAATAACTCAATGGCTTTGTCCACAAAGATATGAAAGAGTTAAAAAAAAAAAATTTCAATGCCAAGACATGAAAATATACGTTTTAAAGAATCATAAAGAAAAAATATCATATATTGATCCATAAGGTGTTCTCTCTATTAAAAAGAGGTAGTGTTGTGAAACCTAATGTCATGGTTAAGGAGTTGGCTAGGTTATGTCTCGAAGGTGCAAAGTCGTCCACATAAGGATTCAGTGATGTGGCGAAAGAACCAAATAAGGTCAAGGAGCACCTTACCAGTCGAGTCGAGGCAAGCCTTCGATTGTTGCTCCTCCCTGCAAAGAAAGGTCAATGTCGAGAGAGAGATTTCTGATTCAACCCCTTCGAAGTTTATGTCAACTCGATGTGGTATAAAAGTGTTTTTAGTGAGTCCCCTTGTCAGCGGGGAGGGGATTAACTTTTAAATATGTTTGTCGGAGGGTCGATCGCACGAGGCTCGTTAATGATCTATGGTACCTCAGGAGGTCGACACATGCTTTTCGCGTGACAGAAGCTGACTTGCACGACTTCACGTCATGTGGCACCATCGTACGTCATCACGAATGGTTGAGGTAGGACAGTGTTACCTCGTATAAATTCAAGCTGCACGGGTATGATTTCCGTCATCCTCGGGTTCCGAGGTGCTTTGTTAGTGCACGTGCACCACGTCAGCCATGAGGTGGCTGTCAAAATATGCCCAATCATTAAGTAATTTTTTAGCGACAATAATTCTCTTAACTAATTAGAGATCTTTGATCCCCAATCCCTCTTCAGATTTGGATTTAGTGATAGCTCACCAACTGATTAGATTACATCCTATATATATATACACACTCTTTACCTGACGGTCGGAGTCGCGGGGCCTTCTTTGGGTGACTCATCTGAGCTTCCAACACATGACTATTCCACCCCTAGAAAACTTCTGTACCCGTGGACTGATTGCTAGACGAAAGGGACCCAATGGACACTAATCGTGGACCATGTTAAGGTACAAGGAGTAGGTGCGTATGTAGAAAGTTAAAGCAAGGTTTAAGGAGTCGGTGCGTATCTAGAAAGTTCACGCAATAATTCAAATGTCACCCCAACGCCGTCCTACCCAGTTGGTATGGGGGACCCACCATTGACTTTTATCGGCTCCCCTTCACCATTGCTGTGTCGTTTTGTAGCACCCGAATTGAAATTTCTATTTAATCGAGCGGACACGACACCGACGACCAGACAGTACGAGCATCAGCAGCGCCATGGCCACTACCACCACACTCCTCCTCCTCCTCGTCGAAATAATTTCCTCCGCCGCCGCCTCGGCTCATCCGGGATACCCGGAGCCGGCGGAGTGCGGCGGCGAGGCTGAATTGCTGGTGGTTCGCAGGGAGGAGTACGGCGGCGGCAGGATCGTGGACATCACCCACGCTTACCGGGAGGACATGCCGGGGTGGGAGCTGGAAGAGGGGCTAGGCCGCTTCCTCTGGCTGTCCAAGTCCATGGAGAACGGCTCCTCAGTGGCCTATTTCTCGGAGATGAAGCTCCCGGCCCACTCCGGAACCCACGTCGACGCCCCCAGCCACGTCTTCCAGCGGTACTTCGAGGCGGGCTTCGATGTCGACACCCTCGACCTGGATGTTCTCAACGGTATGCTCCATATATTGAATCCTCCTTAAGCTCGCTCATGCTGTTTATTTAATCTCTTCGGACGAAGACGAACAAACCGTTCACCATTCACTCTCTCATCGATTCACATTCTTCTAGCTTATCTTTGGGGGAAAAGAGCTCATCCTAATATATTCCAGCTTATTCTACTTCTTAGCAAACTTTAGCCCAGAAGACTGCTAAGATGAAAATTTCACATGTTGGCTCAAATATTAGGTGATTATTTTCTCTATCTTCGATCCAAACAGTATCAGATATCTAAGTTCCTATTCTCTTCCTTTGTCAACCTCCTCCTGTTCTTTTCTCCATCAATACTGGGGGCCTGCATTCTCTCTCTCTCTCTGCTTCTGGGGCCTTATTACACAAGTCGGGTTGACCATATCTAGTTGATCAACCTAACTTAGGTCAAATCCAAATTTGACCCATTTTATTATATTTTAATTTTTTTCTTTTTAGAAAATAAAATGTTGCAGACTAACAATTAGAGATAAATAAATTATCGGAGTAAACAGTTCATTAACACTTTCAGAACTAATTCATTAAAACAGATTTCTAAATCTATTTTACATGAATTAAACAATCTAATAAATTCAAAACTAGTTGAATTATGAAATTTCACACATAAATACTTAAAACAAAGATATGTTTATTTAAATGAATTAAAAATATTATTTCAATACAAAAATAAGAATTGTGATAATTAAATCACATCTTAAAAAAATAATTCATCAAACTTACGATTTATGCTTAATGATTATCATTCACTAATCATAAAATTTCAAAATTAAAATATTATCACGCATCGTAAAATTCTAATATCAAAGATTTCAAAAGCATAAACAAAAACTTTGGATGAAAATTTATTTTATTTTTTAACAATAATTTATATTTTAATTTACTTTATTTTATTTTCATACATAAAAACATAATTCGAAATAATTACATACTAAAAATCACATCACTCATTAGAAAAGAAATAAATAAATAGACTAAATTCTTAACTTGTTCATACCATTAAGAAAATTAATTTTAATCGTTTCCTTAATCATATTATATGAATTAAAAAAATAATATATTAATTAAGGTAATTTGATTTATGATAGAGAGAGAAATCTCGTTATTACAGTGACGATAAAAGTATTCTTTTCGGACCCGTTTATTCCAATCACCCAATTGCCGCCGTCGACTACAGGGAAAGTCTCGCTCTTTCTCAAGCCACGCATTGAAACGTGTACCCATTCCCCGACCACGTTCTTATTTAGGAAGACGAGGGTCCCGCCGGACATCTCCGGACACCCAGGGACAAGGTAACTCGTGCCGGTCATCGTGGGTCTTCTTTTACTTTTGTTGCCACGTTTGTCGCGGTCTCTGTTGCTTTGGAGAATTCGCGTCACGCCAATATTCGAATAACGACACAAGTTACGACTTTCGCCACAATACTCCCTTGGTTGCGTCGAAGTGCCGAGCGATTCCCCCTTCTGTTATATTCTGTTATCATCTAAGCGAAATATCGTCTTCTTCGATCGCACACTTCCCGATTCCAAATCGAGCAGTAAGCTACGAGGATCACAGGGCCATCGCCTACGCCATCAGCGCCATGGCCACTACCGTCCCTCTCCTGCTTCTCTTCCTCTTCCTCTGCCGTGTCCTATGCTCCGCCGCCGCATCGGCTCATCCGGGATACCTGGAGACGGAGGCGTGCGGCGGCGAGGCGGATCTGACTGTGGTCCGGAGGGAGGAGTACGACGGGGGGAGGATCTTAGACATCACCCACGTGTACCACGAGTACATGCCGTCGTGGGACTCGGACGAGGGGCTCGGCCAATTCCTTTGGCTCCCCAAGTCCATGAAGAACGGCTCCCTCGCCAACAACTCCGAGATGAAGCTCCCGACCCACACCGGCACCCACGTCGACGCCCCGGGCCATGTCTTCCAGCACTACTTCGAGGCCGGCTTCGACGTCGACACGCTTGACCTCCATGTCCTCAATGGTAACATGCTCGACAGTGTTTGCCGTATGTGGTAACCCTAGACGGCTTTGTCTGACCTCTTCGTCATTTTTATCTGGAATCAAGTGAAGAAAACATAGAAATGGTTGACAGGATATATCAATCCCAACTTTGATGAGGAAGGAGAACTAATCTTAATCGAGAATAGTCAAAGATCTAAGAATCAAAACCATCTAAGCATGAAACAAGCTAGAAAGGGGGTAAGATATCGCTATGATTTTTCCTAGATGGGAAACAAGTGAGTTCACGCTGAAAAGAATAACTTGATTAGTTGGAAAGATGAGGACTATTTGATGCCTTGATGTCTCTACCAGTGAGGCTTAGGACATCTGGAATTAGTATTGTGCTGCTATTTTTAGACTATGAATTTTCGATTTGTTGCTCTTTCTTATACTTTATTTGCTTTTGGTGCAATTATTTTTCTGTCTCTCACTTTTATTGGATTAGTAGAGAAAATACAGTCGCAACTATGCCTAACTGTGACATCACCGTGGGTAATAAACTTTTCTGTCTAAGTTTTGAACAGGTCCAGCATTGTTGGTGGACGTTCCAAGAGATAAGAACATAACCGGTAAGAACTGCTTGTAAACTTTCGACATTTTACATGAAACTTGCATCCAGCATCAAATCCAGAAGTGACATATAATATGGCAAAGGGCTTCTGACAATAGCCGAAGCCATTAAGCTGTTGTGTGAAATATATGCCTCTATAAAAATAATAAATAAAAATTATTAATATTATATGTTGCATTCATATTTCTTTGGGAACAATATTAAATTATTCTTTGAGTTCTAAATTTAATAACTCTAGTATTTGAGCTTTAAGATGTACATGACTGTAGTATTGCTTCTATTCTATTGGTACAGGGGCTCAATGCCTTCCTGATAAGTATAAAAAAAATCTATTTTCTTTAGTGATTCAAATGATTTGACCTCATGATTTGGAAAATATAGGATATTGTAAAGTGTTCTACCATGACTAAAACTGCCTGTACTGATGGCTATGACAACTTCTGAGAATTATGATGCTGAAGTAGCTGAAATCTATGATGCAAAAGATGCAACTCTAAAGCTTAAAAGCTTCAAGATGGATATTTGCATGGTTGTGTTGAATGCTATGCTTCTTAAAAGGTATTAATCCAAAAATTTTAATTGTCATCACTATCCATTTGTGAAAATAAATCAAGGAATTTGTTTTCTTTTTGATAATTAACCTAGTAAAGCTATTTTTAATTGGCTAAAAAAAAAGCAGGAAACAGAATTCTACTTTCTGCTGATTTAGTTCATGAGGTCTGTGTAATTTGTTTACCATGTACATGTTCAAAGGAGATTTCGTTTTAAAGGTCTGAGAACTGGAAGTTTGATGCTGGCCATGCGACAATGCTGAAAGCTGTTTCCTTTGATTTTAAGCATCATGTTTAAGAAAATTAAATATCTTTGCTTAAGAAGAACAATATTATGTGGCATCTCAACTACAACAAAAGTTATTATCAGACTTTTCAAGTTCATTGATGGGAATTGTAAACATAATTATTTGAACTGCAAGTGCTTATGCTACTTCTTGAAATTGTCTAGGTTCATTTTAAGCTTCATACAAAGATATGATATAGTGGATAACAGTTTTCAATTTATGCAGCTGATGTAATGGAATCCCTACATATTCCAACTGGAGTACGTCGTGTGCTTTTCAGGACATTGAACACTGACAGGTCATAATGTTCATATTATAGTTTATATATATTGCCACCAACACATTGATCAAATAAGTTATGGTACTCAATGTGTTGGCTTTTTTAATCTAGAGCTTTTTTACGACTATCAAGACAGGTTATACTTGTTATTTGGTGAACTGTAGTTGCCATCTCTAAGACAATATTGTCAAAATAGAAATCCATAAGTTAATTTCACAGAAAACAAGGAACCACATGTGTGCTAGTTCCTTAAATAAAATGGTTTGGTAATTTTATTGACTCTCAATTCATAGAGTATTATCTTGCTAAGTTTTTGGGAACTTTAAGGCCAAACTAAAGCATGCCATTTTACAATTTTTTATCCGTATATATGCGCAGACTAACTTAAATAGACTTTTTCTTACTTAAAGAATCTTTTATAAGATAGAAATGTTGTGCCTTTTAGTTTAATGCTTAGGATATTGAATAATTGTTTACGTCATATATTTATCTCATGAACTTTACACAATGTCAACATGATTGTGCAAGAACTTACACATCAAGGAAAATTCATTTTTTGCATTAGGGTTTATTTCATATAATTATGTTATTTCATGGTTACTAACCATATTCTTGATCATGTGAGGAAAAGAGTAGTGATATTAAATTGAAATGTTGCAGATATGAAGCAAATTGATACAATTTTTAAAAATAATTGAATTTTTCTACAGGCAACTTATGTCGAAGAAGGAATTTGATACAAGCTACGTTGGGTTTATGAAGGATGGTGCACAGTGGCTGGTGGATAACACTGACATCAAACTTGTCGGTGAGTCGTAAACTTGCTGCCTGTGTACCATAGTCTTTTCATAGTGCAAGACTTGTGCACTTTTGATGGTCGATAGGTCATGACTCATTATCTTGCATGCATAAATTAGTAGAAATATTATGACATAGAGGGCACAATATGAGAGAAATGCATAGTGCTGCAACAAATGAGAGATGGAAGACCGTCTCATTTCTAAGTAACATGAATTTATTAATCTTCTATGTCAGTTTTACTCTTGGCACAGAACACCAGGTCAATACTTATCTCTCTATAGCAACATATTTAGCTGTGCAAAACCTATTTTTTTCCCTTATTAGTATTGCGCTGTTTGCTTTCTTATTTATATATACAAGAATAGTGTTTTTTTCATCGTTCGTCACTAGAAACTTTTTTTTGGCACATTTTCTAGGTGTTGACTATTTGTCAGTTGCTGCATATGATGATTTGATCCCTTCTCATCTGGTTTTCCTCAAAAGTCGGGTATGTAATTCTTTCTATCTCATGTTATATCATTATTCTCTTAATAATGAGAGACTCCTACTCACACCTCTACTAAAAAGTTGCAAAAAATATGTTTATCTGTAGTCATCGTTCATATCTGCAATGTGGTGTTGTTGCTCGTTGCTGTGTGTCCCATAATTACACATCCATATATAAAACCTTAACCAAAATTCTTCAGCAATGTTTGCATAAGTAAAATCCTATGGTGAAGACACTGGACTTTCACCATATTTACATATTGCACCCCAACAATGATTTCATGAGTTCTTTTGGAGTGGCGGAGACACCAGACTTCCTCATATTTACATTATCGAACACTGGGAATAGTGTTTTCAGAACTGTTACACCTATTAAATATTATTTTACTGCATTAATGCCTCTTTTTTTTGGCATAAAGACTCCTTTTTCTAAAGGAAACATGGATGGATGATTTTTTTTTAATTGAAAAAAATAACTACATTAAATTGATGTGCATGATTCGAACCTGAGATCCTTTCATATATGCAATAATGCATCAATCGGATTACTCAACTAAGACACAGATGACTTTAAATTGCTTCTTCCACTGCGTTTGAATAGCATCTTTTTATTAAACAGCATGTACATAATTGTAATTGTGCCACTTATTATTTTTTTGATTGATTTATTTTGTTCAGGAGATAATCCTCGTGGAAGCCTTGAAACTAGACAACGTCAAGCCTGGTATATACACCTTGCACTGCTTACCTCTTCGGTTACGAGGAGCTGAGGGTTCCCCAATCCGGTGTATTCTTGTCAAATGATCGTCGTCACCCCCACATGACTATCAGGAATGTCTTTGACTCCGTAGCTCAACAAATATTGTCTTTAGATAAATAAGGATGAGCGGTGCCGACATGGTTTAATATTTTCCTACAAGAACTGTTGAAGTGGGGCACAGAACATGTAATCTATCTACTTGGCTGATGATAGACATGTATTAGTTTGCTTTAGGAATTTGTCTTATGTTCTCTCTCTCTCTCTCTCTCTCTCTCTCTTCAGATTAATATCACTATGTGACAAGTAACAACAATGGTTTAAAGGTTTATCCTTCGTCTCAGAGCTAAAAAGTTCACGAGAGGAGATTAGATCACTAGAATTAAAATGGAGGTATCTATACCTCACCACAGGCAAAACGAAAAAGCTAAAGCACACGTACTGAATTAAATTTCGTTCAGAAAGAAGAATCAATGATTGAGAATGACCAATGATGTTTGATATATCATTGCTCATTTGAGGGATTAATTATATATTACGTTATGTAATTAATTTAGCATCTTGGGTTTTATACTTTAAAAATGAAACAATTAGATTCATTTATCCTAACGACATCAATTTTATCGATGAATACATAAAGCTCCATTTACATCTGTGTTGACGTTAATGCAAATGCCGAGCGATTGATGTCTTCCGATCCATGCTCACTCGACAAGCTATGTTTCATGTCTGACCACCTCCCAGGTGAGTGGTCGTTGTTGTTGGACAAGATCATCACCTCTACTCGTGCCTCCCTGATCATCCACAGCACCTTCCACATTGACGACTGCTTCACCTCGATCCCCTTCCTCCCTTTTCTACCATGCACGCTTCACCTCGATCCCCTTTCTCCCTTTTCTACCGTGCACACTGCGGAGGATGCTGAAATTGTAGATGTCGAAGAGCAGGGTGAAGGAGGGCTTGGGAAGGCAGGACATGGTTGCATGGTAGAAAAGGGAGGATACAACAAAGGAGGAGGGGGCGACGAGGTTGTGCGGTGAGACCGATACAAGAGGTGCTACGGATAATTAGGGAGGCACAGGTGGAGGTGATGCTCCCGTCCAACAACAACGGCCACTCGTCGAGGAGATGGTCGAACACGATACAAAGCTTATCAAGAGAGCATGGATCAAAGGGTGATGACCACTTAGCATGATACAAAGGGGGAGGGATCTACCACCATCGACGACAGCAACACCATTATCTGTCATTCGCCATCGCCACCGTCCACAATCGAATGTTAAAATTATCTTTTTATCATTTATTTTCATATTTTCGTTAATAAAATTAATATCACTATGATAGGTAGACAATTAAACACGAAGACCAAATCCTTGCATATTTGCCTCGAGAATATCATTAGTATCAATATCCAAACACAAATCCCCTTTGTATTAATGACATCCTTTACAATATCCTTCAAATTAACATACAAGCATTGTGGAGAGATACCTATGACTTACAAAACTTCTGCTGTTTTGTTTCCACTATAAAAACCCACGGCCTGTGACTGTTTCATCATAACCTGACATCCTTGCGAGCAAACGGCCAACACATCACAGCAATGCAGATGTTGTAAAACACGTACCTGGATCTCCAGCCCCCTTCAGCCACAGCTACAGCCATAACCATTGCTGCAGAGAAGAAAGCAGGAGCCTTACAAAAAACATCCACCTGAAAAAGAATTAAATAAAAGAAAACATGATAGAAGAATTGGTTTGATTAGAGAGGGGAAAGAATCACTGGTTGTTATAATTATATGAACTATCGGCAGAGAGTGGCATCGAGTAATCCTTTCTCATGATGCGTATCGGCTTGATTAAAGCATCAAGGTTGTCTTTCTGCATGAGAGAGTTGCCCGAACTGAACTCAGATTGGTGCAAGTCCTTTGAAGCAACATAACTTGATTCACCATCGTGGTTGTCAAGGCTGAGGCTGATATAGTCAGCAAACCGGCCACCAAAGCAGAAAAGGTCTTCAACCTTCTTGTTGTCTTCGTTGTCCAAGGAAACTGCTAAGGACTTGCCGACGTCACTAATGCTGGAACCAAAGTAACGGCCCCAGCTACTGCTTTGCACTGTAGATCCTTTCTTAGCCTTGCACTTGTTTTTGATCTTAGGATGATGAAGTTTGCACTTGGATCCTTGCAGACACTTCCCTGTTGCTTTATAGAGGGGGCACACGTAACTGTGTTTCTTATGGCACTGCTAGTGAATAAGACACAATTAAAGCACTCAACAAAGCAAGCAAGACAAACAATGAAAGCTAAGAACAAGAAAAACCCTCAAAAGGTTATTGAAGCTATAGTGTTCCTATAAGAACTATGCACAGTTGCAAAAAGAACATGAGCATATCCAATTAACAGAGTAGAACTTCTGCATAAGATAATTCACGTATGCAAAGAGGTGGTGCAGACAACAGAAGATCAAAGGAGGCTTCCGGCCATAAACATTTTCTTAATTTGAACATTTTTAGTTACAAAAAGATGAAATAACATTTCATTAGAATTATTAAATTATATTAGTTAGGAACAAACATTGGAAATAAGCAATACCAACAAGAGCAATGCCGGAAAGAGTTCAATCAAGGGGGGTTTAATAACAAAATTAACAAATTATACAAAGAAAATAAGTGGGGCAATTTCTCAAGAAAAGCTCCACATTTGTGGGTTTTCAGCAAAACCTATTCAGTGTTACATTAAACAGGTTCCAGTATTAGATCAAAGATTACTAATAAGTCCATTAAGGTCTAGTGTTAGATCAAACAGATTACTATGTTAGCTTCATTATCAAATTTATAGGTATTGAGGTTTCATATAACATCAACAACAAAAAAATGCAGGAAGCAATCTGTCTACAATGTTTTTAAATAAATTACTGAACAAGGATGCTCTAATGGAGCTTTAATTAATTCAAATCTCCACAAATTTTAATTATCAACATTATAATGGGAAGTTCTATAAAATAATTTATACAAGAGTTTAAGTGATTTTTGATGAAAATTAAAAAATTCTTGATATATTTAAAAATAAAGGATGAAAAAATTTGTAATTTGTTTTATCATGACAAATTTGTAATTTATTTCGTCACTTAACCTTAGATTCAGATCTATATATTTTGAAAAATCCTATAATATTTATATTCATTTATTGTGAAAGAATTATAATAAAAAGGATGATGCTTAACCGATTACAATATTTTTTAATGGATTTGAGTGTTTTCGATTACTAAATCAAAACATTATAACTGGTCCGTCATTGGACTGGTTCAACCAAACAATTGGTCCTAACAGCTAGGTTTCAAGAAGATAACAAGGGTATTTTGGTCGTTTTTCAAGGGAGGGGTTCTCTACAAGCAAAAAAAAAAAAAAAAGGAGGCTTGTTCTAGGAAAATTTCTTCCATTTGAATATCAGTTCTTATCAATCAACCTGCAAAAGTAGCCAAAAAATTTCTTGTTCAAGTGCATGTATCTTTAACATGATTTATAGTTCTCCAAACATTGTGATTCTTAGAGTAAAAGCCAAAAGTATCCAATCACTAGGCTCATATCAAAAGCTTGTTGGAAAATATGGTAGGCTTTGGTGCACATCCATGCGAATGTCTTATTGCTAACATGTATCTAACACATCCGTGCTAAGGAGCAACATCACAACATCAATGACCATATACATCATGCAGATACAACTTCAATGCAATGACCATGTCCATGTACTTCTTAGTTCTTACAATGTCTAAAACAGCAAAAACAAAGACTAGAAAAAAAACAACATGCAAGAGGAAAGATCAAAATCTAGATGCAAACGTTAAAAGGCAAGGGCAATGAAGTATAATAAAATTATCCAACTACAGAATTAGATTATATATATAAAGTACAACATACCTCATCACCTTCCACACAGTATCCCTTGAGAAATCCTTCACAAACAGAAGCATTGGGATTCACATTTACATGCCTATAAGGGCAACTTGTATTGGTGCATAAACCTGGAAAAGCATCATGGATGTGTAACCAAATACATTTTCTGCAAAATTAATGTCAATTAAGATGTAACAAAGCGCGGAACAGGGTCACCTTGTAAAAAGTAGGAACAATCAGGCATTCTTTCTGGAATAATCTGTAGGGAATCTTTGTGTTAAAAATGTTGGGAACAAGCAAACTAAGATATCATCCAGTAGATATGTATGAGAATCTTTTACCTTGTGAGTAAGCTTGCAATTAGCGTTTGAACATGAACCACTAAGATATTTGGTGCAAATGGCAACTTTAGTTGGGTCATGGATGTATGGGCATTTCCCTCCCTTTTTATTGCACTCTCCAAATCGGGTAAAAAACTGGCAATATTGTCGCTTCTTTGCCAAGCGCAATCTGGCAGTATGCAAACTCCATCGTACTTTCTCACTAGCTAAAATGCGGATAAGTTTTTTTGGATCCCTCACAAGTTGGTTACCGTTACCTATTCGTATATATCTGTTTGAAAAGATAAAACCAAAATTTTGAAAAAACATCCCGATTGAGTGCAAAAGTTCAAATCAATAAGCATATATGAAAACATCATACTCATTATTGCCACCCAATAATTTCCTTTGAGATAAAGATATCTTCCTGCTGTTTCTTACTCCTTGGTCAATAGCACACAAGTGTTCATCTGCAGGAAATGCCAGAACAAAGTATTCCAACATATTGCATAGTTAAACTGGACTAGAACCATGCTCAAAAGACCGTAAACGGATCTGAACTAGAGTTATAGTTTTATAGTGAAGCAGAACCGATCATAGGAATCTTAAAAATTCTGTATGTAATAATATAGAACATAGTAATTTTTAGAGACTATAAGAAGAATGCATTAGTACTGGAAGTCTGAAACTGTTACTGATTCCAAAGTAAAGATGACCCTTATGATACTGAAATCATTAATAAACCAATATTTCCCCATCTTGACTTCCTATGACAAGCATATCTTATGCACCATTCTTTTTTTTTCTTTTTTTTTTTGCATCTGAACCATTATTCATAGAAATTAACTGGTACGTACACTATCAGATAAGGTTTAAAAGTCTAATGCACCTGTATGTTTTTTCCAATAAGCATGTCTTCCCAATGAAATTACCTATGAGTACATCTTTTGGTTTATTGTTAAGACAACCTCTCAGCAGTTTTCCTCAATGATCCAAATAAGCATGGACTGATGATCATGTACCTACTAAGTACTGCAGCCAATAAATCTCATCTGGGCATTGTGGGAGAACATTGTTCACCCTTTCTTTCACATGCACTATAAAGCTATCATTTTGCCTCTGATCACAAGGTACTGAATATTATGGACCATAGAGTTGTTTTTTAATGAATTAGTAGAACGCACATACATGGACACGTTATAATACAGCCATCTATTTGTGTGCCTTCAACACTGTCACTTTAATTCTTTGCACCTCTACAGCCACATCATCCAAAAATAGGGAATAAGCTGTGTATTCAATCTGTCTAATTTCCTCCAATTATGATCAATGATACAGCTTGTGCAGGCTTCAGGTTTGGTGGGCCAAGGGTGTGCGGTAACTCTAAGCAGGGCCCAACCTTCTCTACCAAACAACCCATTAAGGCAAGGTCCCCAGAGATGCTCCTGACCTGTAAAAATAACTATTCATGATGGATTAAGATGACCTGTATCAGTTTAGCTTATGAATCGAGGTTGAAGCACGCTATTCTTGAAGATAAATGTGGATTGCATCAAATTGTTTCAAAGAAGAGGTTGCCTCCGACCCAAATCGGCTCAATGATATTTAAGGTTGCACTAATCTGTTGTACTGAATAGCTTAAACAGAAAGCGGTTAAAAGTCAGGTCAAGCTTGTCTAACATCCTATGGCCTTGGTGGTCAGTTTAGGATGCTCCAAGAGATTAGCATAGCATAATATTGGTGTTTGAAAGAGATTCAAGTCGCACTTCTTTGTGCAAGAGCAATGACAGCCGTACATTACAATGGTATGATGAACTCTGATGCAAGGAGATTGTTTAGCAAAGAAATCAGCTATACTTATTTCATTGACAAATAAAAAAATGGTATAAAAGATGCAAAGATCATAGGTCCATGGTACATCAAATTTTATCATCAAGGTTTTGTTGTAGTTTCTAACCATGTAACTACAATAATTTATCAAATGAGACTTTCATGATTGTGCATCAAAAGTAAATGCCAAAACAATCTTCAACACAGAAGACAAAACTATTTCTTAAAAGTTATACTGCAAAGGTACAAATAATCAAATAACTACTGGTCACAAATGCGAAATTACTCAAACACTTAAAGCAAGAGCTCTCTTATCCACATGAGAACCAACAAATATAATAATAATCAAAATAACTTCTAGCATTCGACAAGTTCTTCCGACTAAAGGTACAGGTTGGGGCAGGTTGATGAACAACCCTAGTCCAACCCAAGAAATAACAACCCTAACCCCAATCCAACCCTTGGGACCCCTGCCCAACTCCACACATCGAGCAGTCAAATTCATGTTTAGTCAGCTTATAGATGGGCTGGGTACAACCGCATTGACTTATTCAACATTTTATTTGGTAGAAAGGTAAAAGAGAGCTGTCTCCAGACCATTCATCAATCACAATGGACATTTTAAAATCTATGCTTCACATGAGCTCGATCATTGATTACGATGATCAATTAATATATATAACTGCAAAGCGAAAAACATACAATTATGTGTATATCTCAAGGTCAGATCAAATTGGTTGGATCAGGATGGGTTGGGTTAGAAATCAACACGTACCCAACCTAAACTCGAGTCAGGTTGAGGAATCTCAACCCTAACCCTAACCCAACCCCCCCCCCCCCCCGTTAACCCAAGTTGGATCAAGCATGTTCAGGACAGACCCAACACCTTTTGCGCCCTTACTTCCAATAGTTGAATGGATGAATCTTCAACATATCAAGATCTTCACGTCCATATCAAAGACATATTAGCAGCTACAACTGCCAAAAAGAATCTAGATTTTCACATGCAATTATATATCTATATGCATGTATATTTGTATATTTGTATATCACAATCCTGATCCTCGGTCCACCATGAAACATAGAATCTTCTACACTTAAAGTACTCCTCAAATCAATAATCAAGGTAAGCTGGCCAAATTACCTAGAATATACCAAACTAAGTCCATATGAGTTTATGAGAATGCTATTACAAGTGCAAAGCTTAAGCAAAAACAAGATCGTAGTAAGTGACTAAGGCCATACAACTTAAAAAGATGTCATGTCAGTGATATATAGTGGAAAACCATTCCACACTTGTATAGGATTTTGAAAAGAAGGGCATTAAAGATCAGTATACTTTGCGAGCAGTAACAATTGTCAACTTGATTTGAAATAAGACTAAAATATAGCTTATGGAGTGAAGAATTTCCATTACTTTTATGGTCAGAAACAGAGGCCAACTTCTCTCTTTCTTTTTTCTTCCTCTCAACTTCAGCAACTGCCAACGCAGCTTCCTGTGATGCAGGATAATAACATCAGTTGAAAATTCAAGCAATTACAGATACATAATCAATATTTGGTATAAGAACTACTAGCTTAATAGAAGTAAAAGATTATCATGCCAAGATTAGAAACAATTAAGTGAGACAGAAAGTGGACTGCAATAATGCAACTAACATTACTGCAGAACTCCACCCTCATCCCCAGCCCTTCAACTAAAAACATAGCACTCCCACATGAACTATTTTGATCCTGTTCATGGCAGTTGACAACCATACACGAAAGATTATGAGGAAATGGTTTGTAGAAATGAAATTCTAAGGCGATAGAGTAATAAAAAACTATCATTATGAGGTTCTGTTTTGCACTATAAATGTAACCTTTTGAAAATGTATGCATTGGAGGTGTAAAAAGGAAATTCTAGGTGTTATAAAGTTGTATACAACTATCATTTCAAGTTTCTATTTTCATTACAAAAGTTACCTTCTGGAAAGGTATTGGAAGATTAACTAGAATTGTAAAACTCAACAACATTTACATTGAACAAAATTTGAAACCTGAAAAATAGAAATATGAGTGCTGACTATGATATGTTTGACTTCAAAAGTGAAACAGGCTGGTTTATCCAGAAATAAGATCCTCTGGATGTGTGGCTACACTTGGCAGAAGCTACCTAGATGACAAAAACTGATGAGAAGAAGAGATATAAGATGGGCTCGCAGTTACAAATCCTTAAATGTTTAAATGTCTCAGAAGCTGAAGTTTTAGTTGAATTACAATTAGTTCAATATGAAGACATTACTACAGAAGTCAATCTGCAAAATCAGATTAGTAAAACCAATGTTACTGAATAAGACATTGAGTATATGAATGCATATTTGTTAAGAAATGGAAACAGAAGTACAGAATAGCCGATTTTAATCAACAATTAAGTACAGAAGCATATGCCCTTGGCTCGCCTACATAGGAAGACTGATTATTGGCATTGAGAAAGCTTACGATTTGATTCTCAAGTACCATTACAGGTTTAGAACATTCGTTACATAAAAAAGGGTCCATACTAGATGTTCACAAAAGATAACAGACTTCACTTATACAAGCCAGGTTACAACTAAAATTCCACAATTCATGCACAGAGAACAATTAGAAAATTTTGTTGAAGACAAAAACACAGAGAGAGTTCTGATGGTATCACTCACCTTATTAACCACTTTTGAGCGTCTCTGCATGGACCTTGACCATTTCAAACTACATCGACCAACTTGTGACACCCCAGATTTTTGTAGAGAATAACCATCAGTTGACAGTGTGTAGGCTATATCCCTTGTAAGCAGCATTTTTTGGCTGGATCCATCATGGAAGATATTTCTCATATAATTAGTTTCAACAGAAGGCAAAGAAATTAAAAAAACATATAATTAATAAATACATGAGAAAATAGGCAGGAATCAAGGGGTCCCAACCTTCATGTAAAATCTTACCTGCGCAGCAATAAGGAACGTCTCTTCAAAACTGATGAATTGTTGGTCCAATACGTAGTTCTCTTCCATGGGAAAAGGTGAGGAAGAACCTTCAAGCGAGTTAATGGTGAAGCACCTTTTTTATGTGGTTCTAAGCCATTCAATGTCCAGACACGAGAGAAACTGAAGTGCTTAAGCTGCTTCTCTCGAACTGCATAAATGAAAAATAAATTGAATAAATAATAAAATTCGTAAAAGCTCTATATAACTTTGAGTTATCTGAAAAATATCCAAATGGAAAAAAAACAGATATGAGGATCATCCGGGTGATTAAAAAAAGCAAAATATGTCAGCTAAAAAATTACATGAAATGTTAAACTGATGTTGCTCTGTGCTCCACAACAAAAATTAAGAGTAAATCCAAGAGATAAAAATAATTAAGTAGAGGTTAGAACTTAGAAGGAACTAAAATCAAGGACATCAACATAGATGTTCATAAACTATTTCTCCTTATTGTTCAAACTAGACAAGGTTATATCCAGATAGAGAGAAAGCGAGGTCGGCAGCAGCTTGATAATCTTTTGATTTGATTCACTGATTGGTCACTTCTCAATAGTGACAGATGATTGCTTGGATTGTATCAGCTTGGTTTTTCTTGTACCCATCAACATACAAAGCAACAGGATATTACTATATCATCAAATAATTTAAATCAAATTAGCTCCTTAAGACTTAAAAGTGCTTCACAAACCTTGCTACAATATTTGTGACCTTGATGCATTTGCAAATTTCTTGGCTTTTACATGTGTGAACTTCAACTTCTATTACACAGATAGGCTCCTGCCTGAAATCAACTTGCGTGTTTTTTCAGCCAGGCAATTCATGTTCCACTGGCTGCATGTACATTGGGACCATTGTACAAGCAACATTTTGATATGAGCTCCACAAAAGAGAAATTCAATATGCAGTAGCAAAAGCAAAAGACTGTTGCCTCATGCTGACCATCCATATCGGTCTCTGGCCACACCAATATGCACCGGTGAGCCCACACACAGTAACGGGTATGCATGAAAGACGAGAAGAGAAAGGAGAAGAGGAAGGAACATATAGCAGCGGAGGAATAGGAGGAAGGAGGAAGAAGGAAGAATAGAAGAAGATGGAGAAAAAAGGAAGAAGAATGATAGAACCCTAGCAGGTTCTAAGCTTGGGGTTGATCTCTTTAGGGGATCGGCCTCCTTCGAACTCTATAGGGGTTCTTTTCTTCAGGTTGCTGCTCAAAGGCTGCTAAAAAGATTCATCTATTCCTTGAGAAAAGATGATGAATACATGACCATTTATATGATTTCTAAAACCCAACTCCTAATAGGACTCCTACTCAAGACTCCTACTTTTAACCAACTTCTAATAGGACTCCTACTTCTAACCAACTACTAATGCTTCTCTAAGAAGCAACCTCCAAACTAATCATAACCTTAGCCGACGTCTTCACCTCTTTAATAGGGGTCGGCTAGGTAGGTTTTACATGAAAGCCTCTTTCAATGAAACTCAATTAGGATTCTCCTAGCTAGAGTGCTAACAGACCCGCCCTCTTCAAATCAGCCGAGGCTGACGATTCATGAATTCTAGGAATTTGATCTTCAAGTTGTCATAGTTCTCCAAGTGGCATCTTCTGCTGATAGGTTCGCCCACTGTATTAGCACTTCGGTAGTGGGGTCGTCGTCGTCAAGTCACGATCCGTCGATCATTAATGGCACTCGGCTGGGTTTGGAGTTCTCCTTGGGTAGTCATATTTGGTAGATGACTTTGGGCTGTCTCGTTTTATCCCAGCTTGAGCTTTAAACACGACACATGGAAGACTGGATGGATTCGGGAGCTGGCGGGTAAGTCTAATCTGTATTCTACTGCTCCGATGCACTCTAAAATTTGGTAGGGTCCATAGAACCGAGGTGAAAGCGAAAGCTTCATAGATGCTCTAGTCTGCATTGATGTTTGGTTGTATGGCTGGAACCGTAGGAAGACCCAATCTCCTACTGAAAATTCTCTTTCGCCTTTGTGTTGATCATATTGTTGTTTCATCCTTGCTTGAGCTGCAGTGAGATTATCTTTTAGCAACTTCAGCATTTTATCTCTGTCCTGTAGTTTCCTGTCTACTTGTTCTACTTTAGAGGTGCCCAACACATATTTTGGGATCACAGGGGGAGGTCGGCCATACATAGCCTCATTGGGAGTATATTTTGTGGATGAATGATAAGTTGTATTATATCACCACTCGGCCCAAGGAAGCCACTTTGTCCACTCTTTTGGCCGGTCACTGGTGAAGCATCTGAGGTATGTCTCTAAGAACCTGTTCACCACTTCAGTCTGGCCGTCGATTTGTGGGTGATACGCGGTACTCATTTTCAATTTAGTGCCCTGCATTTGGAATAACTCTGTCTGCTCCTGAAGACCCTATCACGATCACTTAAAATAGATCTCGGCATCCTATGCAATTTTATAATATTCTCCATAAAGATTCGAGCAATACTAAAAGCAATGTAGAGATTACGAACATCGCAAAAGTGAGCATACTTTGTAAGGCGACCAACCACCACAAGAATTGTACCTTTTTCCTTGTGATGAGGGAAGCCCTTCGATGAAGTCCATTGATATATCAGCTCATATTGAGTCCGGGACGGGTAGAGGTTGCAGCTTTCCGGGACTTGCCACTGTCTCGCCTTTATGTCGTTGACATACATCACATTATGCCACAATTTTAGCAACAATATTTTTCATCCCTACCCAATAAAAATTTTGCTTAATTCTCTTATAGGTTCTAAGGAATCCGGAGTGCCCGGCCGTAGGTGTGGAATGCATCTTTTGAAGGATGGTCTTTATGCAAGTAGAATTTGGCACAAGCACAATGCGTCCCTTATAGCGCAATTCTTTTGAGTCCCAACTGTAATGAGCCACGGAGCTTGGTGCTTCCCCCAATTTTTTTATGCTCTTACTGGTCTCCGGATCTTCCTACCATTCCCTCTTAATATCCTCAAGGAAGTCGCTGGTCGGAAGTGAAACGACCGAAAATTCAGCTTGCTCGGGTAGCCGCGAAAACGCATCTGCAACACCATTCTCTTTCCCCTTTTTGTAAGTTATTTCATAACCATATCCAAGAAGCTGTCACCAATTTTTGCTGCTCAGGGAAAGATATCTTCTGCTTCAAGAAATATTTATAAAATATTTTAGGCTTTTATGGTCGGTCTTGATTTGAAAGCATCGCCCGATCAAGTAGGATCTCCATTTGGTCACCGCATGCACAATCGCGAGCATCTCCTTATCGTAAATAGTCATCTTGATATTGGAAGGAGATAATGCCTTACTGATATAAGCGAGGGGGCGGCCATCTTGCATTAGTACAGTGCCAATTCCGACTCCGGAGGCATCGACTTCAATAACAAAAGTCTTGCCAAAATCGAGTAGCGCTAGTACGGGAGTTGTCGTCATTGCGGCTTTAAGTTCGTCGAAGGCGGTGGTGGCTTTGTCCGACCATTGGAAAGCATCTTTTTTCAACAAGAAAGTAAGGGGTGCACTGATCTTTCCATAGTTTTTCACGAACTTACGGTAGTAGCCTATTAAACCGAGAAAGTCGCATAGCGATTTTATGTTCCTCGGGGTCGGCCAGTTTCGCGTTGCTTCAATTTTGGAGGGGTCCACAGCCACACCTTCCTTTGATATGATATGCCCAAGATATTCCATCTTCTGTTGAAGAAAGCCGCACTTTGATTTTTTGACAAAAAGAACATGTTCTCGTAAAATCATTAAAACAAGTCGTAAGTGCTGAAAATGATTTTCAAGAGCAGGGCTGTAGATAAGGATATTGTCGGAGAAAACCAACACAAACTTACGAAGATAATTCTGGAAAATATTATTCATAAGGCTCTAGAAGGTGGAGGGAGCATTGGCGAGCCCAAAGGGCATTACCAAAAATTCGTAGTGGGCATTGTGCGTTCGAAAGGCGGTTTTCGGTATGTCTTCTTCGCACACTCGTATTTGATGATACCCGGATCAAAGGTCCAGCTTTGTGAAGACTCGTGCTCCCTTTAATTCATCAAGCATTTCATTTACTACTAGAATAAGGTATTTGTCCTTGACGGTTATGTCGTTGAGAGCTCGGTAATCAACGCACATTCGTCATGTTCCGTCCTTCTTTCGTACGAGTACTAGTGAAGAGTAAGGGCTACAACTTGGCCGAATAACTCCTGTTTTGAGCATCTCTTTTACAATCCTTTCTATTTCATCCTTCTAGAGCTGCAGATACCGATATAGCCGAGTATTTGCTGGAGTTTACCCAGAAAAATCGGTTTACAATGATCATGCCAACGGGTAGGAGATAGGTTACATAGTTCGTCAAATATATCTGAATATTCAACAAGCAAAGGAAGTAGGTTTGGATCTTCAAATTATGTTGGCTCTCCCTTAGTTTGCTGCTCAAGTTGTATCAAAAAGTCACTGCATGCTTTGTGCAAAACCTTCTCCATTCGTTGTGTGCAAATCGTCGTTACGTCGCCCCCACGTTTCCCGTGCAGTATCACATGTTTCCCCTTTTTGTAAAATTTCATAATTAGTTTGACAAAATTCTAGGAAACATCACCTAATGTCGTCAACCATTCGATGCCGAGCACGGCCTCATAATCATCAAGAGGGAGGAGGAAAAAATCTGCAATTATCTCTTGGTCCTGCAGCAACAGTTTCCCCCGCGGGCACCTATGATCACACTTCAAAATTCGTCCGTCGGCGACCTTAACGTCGAACCTGCTGCAATTCTCGATAGGTAAGGCCATCCGGACAGAAACCTTGTTGTTCATAAAATTATTAGTGCTTCCGGTGTCAATAAAAACGGTAATAGGTTGTTGCTTCAGAAGTCCTCCCAATTTCATCGTTTGCGGGTTCGCGTAACCAACAAGGGCATGCATCGTAATATCAATCGCCTATTGTTCTTCATCCGCGACCTCTTCCTCATACTCCTAGACCTCCTCATCCATGTCTTCAAGAGGTTCAATCAGTAGGAGACGACCCCTTTTGCAGTGATGATCGCGGTTTCACGGCTCGTCGTAATGCCAACAAAGACCCTTTGCTGATCGGTCACGTAGTTCTTCTCTTGTCAATTTTTTTTTGCAGTAAAGGACGGCTAGGAGCAAAAGGAGGTTTATATGCCGCGGGCCTGGTTTGGCACTCTTGAATCGTAGAGGATTGTCAAATCTTTGCGAGTTGGCCATCGATATTTTCATACTCCGTAGGTCCGAAACGATTCAGCAGTGCGTTCTTAAATTGATTCCACGTCGGAGCCCCATGATTGTATCCCAGCCAATTGTACCATTGAATAGCATCTCCCTCAAGTTGGATGGCAGCAATTTCCACTATAGAAACATCAGACGTTCGGTAGTAGTGAAAGTAACGTTCGACGCGCGAAATCCACCCCGCTGGGTCTCCTTCTTCCCATCGCGGGACGTCCACCCTCATGCGTGGCGAAAGCATGTCCAAGGGGCTATCCCTCCTTCTCTGGAGGCCTCTCTGAACTCTCTCCTCGCTGAAATTTGGTTGGACTTGGCGGTTGTCCAATTCTGAATTCTGCAAACAAAGCGCGCAATTTGTCCTCCAAGCGCGATTCAAGCCACGATTCAATCCGAGATTCCAATGCTTCAAATTTGGCATCAATTGGATCTTGAGAAGCCATAGCATATGCCCTGTAGATTAGAGATGTCCCTGTCTTTTTTCTGTTGATGGGTTAATGGCATGGGGTGGTGGAAGGTTCCAAAAAATTATGGATCACGGAAAGGTACTACAGCAGATTTTTACGTCTAAAGTGTAGCAGTTTGGACGTAAAGGGTCAGTGGTTTATATTGAGAATATTTTGACAAAATCAAAGGGAAATCCGTTGTTAGGAAGTGTCAAAGCTGTCGTAAAAATTTCGTAAAGATTTGGATAGAAAAAACGTAGTAACAAGACCAAACAAACTGTGCTATGCGGTTGGAATTCTGCAGTGCATCTTTCGTCGTAAAGATGAAAATTTTGCGCCGAAAAGTTTATGTAGCAATATAGGAACAATTTTTTTTAATTTTTGAATAAGGATAACTAAATTACAACATTAGTAAGGTAGGAAACCAGAACCTATTGCAATTCATGAGGAGATCAAAGGATGATCCGCGGTGGTGGAGATGATAGCAGAATTCGACGACGATCTTTTAAGCAATTGTAGGAATTGTTTTGGGCGACTGTGGAGGGCTGATGGATGGCTGTGGAAGGGCAGCGAGACGCCAAGAACGCTGCTCTGATACCAAGTGCCTAGCGAATTCTAAGCTTGGGATTGATCTCTTTAGAGGATCAGCCTCCTTCGAACTCTATAGGGGTTCCTTCCTCCAAGTTGCTGCTCAAAGACTGCTAAAAAGATTCATTTATTCCTTAAGAAAAGATGATGAATACATGACTATTTATAGGGCTTCTAAACCCCAACTCCTAATATGACTCATACTCAAGACTGCTACTTCTAACCAACTCCTAATATGACTCCTACTCAAGGCTCCTACTTCTAACCAACTCCTAATGCTTCTCTAAGAAGCAACATCCAAAATAATCCTAACCTCAGCCGGCATCTTCACCTCTTTAATAAAGGTCGGCTAGGTAGGTTTTAATGAATGCCCCTTTCAATGAAACTCAATTATGACTCCCCTAGCTAGAGTCCTAACAAAGAAGAAGAAAAGAAAAGAGGAGGAAGTGAACCCAAAATTGGCAACGACAAGCAACTAGGACCTCCGAGCAGCTAAGCTCGCAAGTTTTGCGTATACAACACAGAGGGATCGCATTCCAACAATTGTTTAATAGGTTTTTTCTTTAACAATTCGGATCAAACTGCCCAAAACGAGGGTGAGTTGGGTATCATTCATTTTGTACCGATCCAGGCAAAATTGCATTTTATGATTGCGACAATATAGCCTTCAAGCATTAAAGAATATCAAAGGCCGTAGGTGTCACACCTACTAGATATTTATCTCCATTATCACTCCTCACGCTTGGTATTACCTGTCTTCAAAGGTTTGTTTAGAGATCCAATTCTCATTATCACAGCTGGTCCATCTAAACAAGGTTTAAAGGTTTGTAGAAAGCTACAATTACCAGGGACCCCTAGAATGAATTAAACATTGATGATGGAGATAGTAAGAGGAACATAAACATTCAAACATCAGGTTGTCCAAGGCTTTTATAATGAATAACAGGATTTCATCTTATGTAAAATTAAAAATGTAATCCTCATTTAATAGAGAAACTCTTTTATGTTCAAAACAAGTTAAAAGACAAATGTGCACCCACACACAACGAATTCTACTTTCATGAATTAGTACATGAAATTTGAAAATGAGATTTAGAAGCAAAATGCAATGACTTCATAAAGTTGCACTCCAAATTAAATATAGCGGCAGTACCTTTTCTGGATACTATCAACTAAGATCATTGTTGCAAAAGATCTGGATTTCAATTCAATCAAATCATGCACTGACAAAATGTTTTGCATAATTTTATTTGGAATAGAATAGTATTTTATTCTAATACGCTCAATACATAAAAGAAGTTTCAATCAAATCACAAGAATTCGCATCATATGTAGGAATCTGTATAACACTAAGGAGAATAAGTGATGACAATTTTCTGTCAAAAAAGGTAGTCGATGATGTTATCATTAAAAAGGCAGGATCCGTGTCAAATATCTAAAAAAAACATGTGGTAAAATGGATGTTGTTTCTAACACCAATGGTCTCACTATCTCTTCTGTATAATTGTTACAAGTTGTAACAAACACTACTTGAGAAAAATTGATTCCTATTCCGATAAAAGATATTCAAGCCAAGATCTGTAGCTTTAGAGTTATACAGCTAAATATCTACATCTATTTACCAAGTTTAATATGCCTAGTTGTCTACATCTACTTTACAATTGTTACAATTAGTTGAATAATAATAATGGAAATGACAGCAAGGCAAAATAAACAATCCATACTTGCAGATGCGAGCATATGAACAAAAAAGATGCACAAACAGCAAAAATAAATTAAAGAGAAAAAAAAAACATAAGACACGATAATTTATTGGAGTCAAATTATATGTATATAGAGACACACGCAAACACACATACCTTTATTCAATTTCTTCTTGAGTAGACTAGAAGAGCTGCGATTTGAGGTGAATATAGGAACTTTTTTCTCATCTGAACTTGTATTTTCAGCATGAACCATGTCCTGCTTATTTTGACCATCTGAAGAATATATAGTCCGTACAAGCTGGTTCTTCTTTTTCCTGTAGTAAAGATCTGATGATGCCGAGGAAGGAAATGTTTGGGCCTTGTCCAAAGAAGGGTTAGCTGAATCAGTAGGTTTAGGCCCAGAAGCAGCAACCAACTGATTAGACTTGTGTTTCACATATACCATACTCTTAGTACACAAAGGGTCGGATGTTTCATCAATCTTGACATTTTGGTCATCGACACTGCAGGAAGCCAAGTCAAGTGGTCTGCTGTGAACCTCAGTCCTAACTTCACGAATAGAGTTCTCTGATAAGGGATGAGGAGCTTCCAACAAAGGGTCAGCAGTGGAGTTTGATAACTTTGTGCCAAGAGGTAAAGGAGGTGTTTTAGGTCTCTCAAAAGAAGTATTAGAACAAGTAAAACCATCATTGGTAGTATCTTTACTCTCAAAATTCATGCTTTTCTCCATATTATCTTTGCTCAATTTACTCGAAATGCCCAGAGTATGTGATGGCTGAGGAGGAAACTCAATAGATGGTTTCCTAATAAGACTATTACCTTTACGAACATAAGAGCTTTGAAGCTTTCCAGGCTTCTTTGGTGATTGTTTACACAACGAACCAACTCTTTGAGACTGCAGAACCACCTGAGAACTTGAAGAGGAAGCATCATTTCGACGCCATGTCTTGTTTCTCAAATTGTGACGTGAATGAGCTGATTCCTTCAGTGAAGTTACTAAATTAGCTCGACTTGGAACAACTTTTGGAACACCAGAACTCAGAAAGGTTTTCTGGCCCAAATGCACTTGTCCGTTGACTGGTTTTGATTCTGTGATCTTTTGTTTCTCAGAGTCATGTGACAACAAGTTCTTTTGTTTCCCAAGAATAGTTTTACAATTAATGTCTTCATCTGATTTGACGCCTTCAGCTTCAGATACCAAAGATCCCTTAACAGGTAAGGAACAGTTGTCTTCCTTGCTAAGTTTCTGGTCTTGCTTATCACAACAGTTGTTGAAGTTAGCGCAACCGTAGCTGTCAGGCAATCCTGGATGGAGTTGTTCTGGCACTGTAAAATGAGAAGCATCTTGAGTTTCAGACATAATGAAGGAACAAATTGCTAAACTTTTCCCTCCAGGTCTCAAACAATCAGATTGAGGTATTTCAACATGAGCATGAATACTACAACCATCATCTTTTTCAAATATGGCAGTTTCTGGATGGTATTCCCCTGCGACTACATCTTTTAACAGCGGAGGAAGATCTGCTGAAACATTCTGCATTTCCGAGTGTAAATAAGCATCAGCATTTGTAATCTCTCCGTAACCAAAATCCTTGAACTCTTCTTTTGCACCCTTATTGACCTCTGTGAGCTGATCTTCGTCAGTCTTTTTTTTACTTTTCAAGTTCTTTTCTATAGAATCATCTTTGCTGAATGTGGAAGAAATATGATCAACTGGCATGACAAACTGCTCATCGCTCCCCAGTGGTGATGAAGAAGAATGCTCGGATGAAGATGGGACAAAACCATTATCAGGACATCCACACTTTTCATCGTCATCTGGCCCATCAATATCCTGGTTGTCATGGTTATCAGATATGATATTCTCATCCAGAAAAATAGCCGATGGCAATTGCTCAGTGCCAGATTCTGGTGCAGCCTCAGGAGCCCCTTGATCAAATGGCCTTGAGCTAGCATCATTTACAGCTCCAATATCAACCGGCGGACTAGTGCAGTTTTGGCCATCATTTTCTCCAAGATTGATAAATTTCTTCTCCTTGTCACTATCATCGCCACCAGCTTTGAATACGCTAACAGATATGGAAAGATTTTCTGAAATCCTCTTCTCTGTAGCATTTGTGTCTGCCTGACAATGCTCTGAATTTGTAGAATTAGCAAGTCTAAATTCTGAAATTTCTGCACTATGACAGTTGCTGTCGTTAACCTCACCAATGGCAATGCAGTTGGGAGTCTTTTTTCCTGTTCCCAGAACCTTCGTTGAACAAGTTTGAGAGTTGGCATCATTTGCAGGCTTTATAGAGGAAGCGCCTTGCTTTCCTGACAATTTTAAATCATTTAGTACCTTCCTAGGAGTATCTAATATGGGCTCTTGAGGAATCCCATCCTTCACTGCAGAAACGGATGAACCAGGATCAGTAGGAACAGCAAATTCCTCCCATTTTCTCACCAACTTCTTCTTTTTCACAGTCTTCTTCGGCATGGACTCCTCAGGATCCGTCCCATCAAAACTCACAGCCAGACTAGGAGAAGCCAAGACTTGACCTGCCAAATTATTTGATTTAAACGAGAAATCCGGTACACCCATTTCTGCTTGGTGCTGGACAGCGTTACTGGAAGGAGAAAATGGTGCAGGAGAAGGTGAAGATAGAAAGGATGGCTTCTCCTGTATCCTGTTCCAGACAGATATCCCCGATTGTATTCTAGAAAGGGCACTTGGCCTCTTTGTAGGTTGCTTGATTGGTGAATGCGATATACTGTAATCATTTGCTCCACCACACATCTTCCTCTTGCCTCTGTTACCTCTGAAATAATTTTCTTGAGAGCCATAAACTGCACCAGCAATAGGTGCCTCATAGGCAACATCTGCATTATTATTTTCAAGAAACTCTCTATCTCCATCAGAATAAGAATGGGCAGAAGGTTGCATCGAGGGCAGTGGTGGCTGAAGATGACGTTCCATGATAGAAGCAACTTCTCTCCGATCCTCTCTACCTCTGTCGGAATAAGAACGCATCAGCGGTAGCTGCTGCTGCCGCCATTCTATAACGGAAGCAGCCTCCCTGTTTCCATCTGTGGCTACAAAGTGCCTCGTACCCCTCGGGGAAGAAGTGTACGCTGCCCCTAGAGAAGCACCGGGCAACGATTCCGGGAAAGCACGGTGCTGATGGCCGACCTCTCCGTTCCACAACTGGATATGCCTCTGGCTTCGACCACCCGAGTTCTCTTCATGGTCGGGATCTTGCGCCCATCGCATCCTCTTCCTTCCCACCGAGCCACCATCCAGATCCTCCGGATAAAAATTACCCCGACAAGAACTCGCAAGCCGTCGCCTGTCATCTTCCTCCCACCTCAGTCGAATCAAATCCTGGCTCTCATCGACAACCCTAAACTTATTCGCATCAAGAACAGTGCATTCTCGGGGATCTTGGACGAAACCCTCGCCGGGGCCCAGCAGATGAGGCCGGCACGAGGGGTAGCGGTCCTCGGGCAGCGGCAAGCGGTCCGTAATCCGAGGGGAAGGCTGGAGGAAGGGGTCATGGGGGTGAGGGTAGGGCAAAAAGAGGTGGCCACCGTCCTCGACGGGTGCCCGGAAGTCGCGCTCGTGGCGGCGAGGCGGGTTCTGGTTCTGATACGGCTGTGGCGGCGGCAGTGGCGGGAGAAAAGAAGCAGCGTGGTGGGTCTGACGGGGGTAGTAATTGGGATCGACGAATTGGTGGGAGGGGGGAGCATGGTTGTCGTACCTGGATCGTCCGGAGAGGTGAGGGGAACGCAGGGGATCCATCGTCCACGCGGAGCGCCTCCAAGAAGAATAAGAAGGGGCAAAAGGATCGCTTCTCGAAGCCGCAAAGAGACACAGGAGGAGGAAGAGACGAGCGGCGAAGGGAAGCGCGTCGGCGTCTGAAGGAGAATCGAGAAGAGAAAAAGTGGCCAAGGGAGGCGTATCGGCGTCTGGAGGAGAAAAGAGACGGCTGGCGTAGGCGGAAGGTGGGTGGAAAGTGGCGGTGATTAAAGAACGAGTGCGTGTGAGTCACGATGAGCGACACCGTATCCTACGCATAAGATCGAAAGGCTCACATCAAAACGTGATATCCATCCAACGGTCGCGGCGCCTACCAACCGAGTGCGTAAGCCCTACGCGTAACTTTACCCTAGCGCGAGGCCATTTTTTTCAAGTTAACGAACCGACGCCACACCTGACGCGACCGTCACCCGAGATCACCCCCCTCTCGATGAGCTCCTTTGGGCCCCACAGGGTAGCCATTGGTTCCTCGAATCGCAAACGGGTTCGTGGGAAGACGGATCACCCGTAACTTCTTCATATTCCCAAAAAGACCAATTCGGTAGAAGCAGTGGCAGCAAGATTTAATTCGCCTAAAAAGATACGAAACCTAAATCTAAATTACTTGTGTAGTTCATCACCATCGTCACAAGCTTTCATCCTCCGAATACTCTTCTTCCTTCGGAGCTCCGTCGCTTGGTTTAATCTTCTTCTCTTTCTTCCTCTGCTTCTTCTTTTGGCGTTTCAGGCGTTTCTTTGCTGTCCTTTCCTCCGCGGCCTTCAGCCTTTCCTCCCTCCTCGTATTAAACTCTGCTACCTCTTTTCTTCTCTGGTAATCAGCATCCATCCTGGACAGTCGGTCCTGCTCCTTCCTCCTCATCTGTCGATACTGTTAATCACAAACACCTTCGTAAGGCAACAGGCAAGAGATGTGTTTGTCCAATGGATTAATTCAGAGTAAAGAAAACCAAGAAGCAAACAGCTCATCGTTTTGCCGCAAAAAATCTAAGAAAGTCGAAGAATATCAAAATGCTCCCTGTATCGAAGTGGCTCAGTATAATAATGCTCTTTCTCTAACATGGAGCTAAAGACCAAGTTGCAACTCAGGAAGAGAAAGTTATTGTGCAACACACTAACTTGGATGGAAGCATGTTTCGATAATCCTTACTGGAGCATGATGGACTGAAACATGCAGTTTGGTGCAGATAATTTTTCTTAGTGGCAATGCAGTTGTTGGTGAAATAAGGTAGGTTGTGAACAATCAATCAACCATCGTGCATTAGGAATGTGACATAGGGTATACCAGTTAAACCAGTCCTTAGTATGCACATAACAGATACTAAGAAATGAGAATGCGGACTAGCTTCCGAGTTCCAATATGAAAAGCTATGAAAGGAAAGTTGTCATGGCAACGATCGAACACTATCACAATTCCATTTCATATTGAAATATAGGATTAATTATTTTAAATTAATCTATAAAATGGTAAAGATCACGAAGTGGAGGCGGGGAGAGACCTGATGGAAATCGCCGGAGCCGGAACCGGCGGAGCTGCCGGAGGTGTTGCTGACTCGGACCGGGACGTTCTCCATGATTCTTCGAAGCTTCACCTCGAGGTCCTCTTCTTCCTCCCTCAGCATGGGTCCGCTTTTCGTGTACTCCACCATTGCGCCACCCCGTCCGCCCCCCGCACCGGCCTGTGCATCGATCGCAGCGCCGGTCTTCGGAGCCACCGCGACGAGCTGGAGATCGCTGCCACTCCCGTCGCCATCCCTCGACGGCCCGGACATCGCCGCGTCCAAAATGGAAGAACCTGAGACCCTGGTGTAGAGAAGGGGATCGACGAAATATGACGAAAGTAAATATCTCAAGAACCCCGTCAAGAAACGAGAAGGTGATCCGACGAGAAGCTCGAGTTGAGACGCGATCGAGAGGTGCAGAGTGGCACGCGGACGAAGGTTATCTGCGACGGCACGGCGGTCGGGTGGCGACGGAGTACGGAGCGGGAGAATTAGGGCGAGAGGTCGCCAGATACCACGACGACCGGCTCGAGGGTCAGGGCTTGGGTTTTTTTTTTGCCCGGATAAAAGTGCGGTTTAGGAAATGACCAGACCGGCGTGGTCCAGTTCGGGTCGGATCGGTTATCGTCGTGTGCTTCCCTGAAAGTTGTGCATATATATATATATATCAACTCAGCAAAGATAATTAGATGTCGAAGTTTGACTTCCGCGGACAGCGACGACACATATGCTGACTGACTCGGTTGACTCGTCTTCATGCTTAGCCTCGTCGCCCCACTCCAAACAGTGTATCTATATCCCTTTTATACGTTATAGCATTGAGGTTTAAACGTCGTAAATATAACCTTATATTTTCATAATTATTTTTATTTTTCGTTCCAAAAATAAATAGGAAAGACTAACTGAACCTACTAACATGCTATTCATATTATTTTATAAGCTGAGTTACATAAAATCTTCTATGTAATCAGTTCTCAGCATTTCTCACTCATATATAAATATAAAAAGATTCACACCTGCATGCATGTGTCAATGCATGAGAAGTCAAATAGATAAATAAACGAAGGGTAATCTTACTCTTCTGTTTTTACTTTAGATGTCACATGATTGATGATGTTCTTCTTATCATACTAAATCATATGCCTAAGAACAAACTACGTTGAAGACAGAGATGTGTAGGAGCTTTATTGGTTGTAAAGATTTAACTGAACTGCCATATAAAATGAAGAAATGTGAAGCATGTGAGGCTTTACAGACAAAAGGATTATTTTTGTTTGTTCGCTAATTTAATTATGCGTTCATTTAGATTATTTTGATGGTAATTTTTCGCTTAATTGACACTAGATTTTATTCATTCAATACCAGTCATTGTCAAACTCGGTCAATCTTTGTAAGTTATCCAAAAAAATCGTTAGGATAAATTAATTCATTATATTTTTTTAATGCAATCGATCTAATCGATTGGACTAATTTATGAAAATAAGTTGTTTTACATTTTTCTTGGGAAACGCTCTCACTTTTAGAATTCTTAAACATCACTATTTTTTTTTGCCTAATATCTAAAATATTTTTTTTTGTTTTTATATAGATCGATAACTAGTTCGATTATAATATTTTTAGTAATATTAAAAAATATTATAATATAATAATATAACGTAGAAAAAATGTTATATAGTGTTTTCTATTTTCGACAATACTAAAAAAAATACTATAATATAATATAAAAAATATTTTTTATATAATATTTTTATATTGCATGATATATGTTTTTTGGTATTATTGAAAATATTATAATGTAGTATAAAAATATTATAACTCACTGATTTACCTTATAGACCAATCAATATAACAAAAGAGGAAAACGTAGAAAACAAAAAGCGTGTGTGATTAGCAGTATTTCAAAAATGACGTAAAAAAGGGTAATGTTTGAGAATTCTAAAAATGTGGAACGTTTGTTGAGAAAAATAAAATTAAAAAAAAAATTATTCACCCGATTTGATTTTTGATTTATCTAAGTCCGATCACACAGTTCGATCTGGTTATATACAGACGGTGGAGATGCAAATTGTCCGTTCCAAACAAGATGTGTAATCGGAGAGGATCCAATCATACAAACTATACTCGAAGAGTATTGGCGACGCATCGGCGAGGTGGCCTCGTGAGGGAGGGAGGGAGGGGTTTTCTACTGCATGAAGGGAGTGGGTATGCCGCCCACTTCGTCGTAACCGGATGTCAATAGATACTGTCTATGGGCCAAGGACGACCGGGACCAATGATCGATGCACCTTAGGTAGCGAGGATCGCATGACAATACATAACATGGATAAGATAAATGATCTAGCGTAGTATGGATGGTATAGCTTATCATTACATAAAAAATATATAATTGGTGCCAAAAACATATTCAGATTCCATGCATCTAAACTAGCTTGAGCATCTTTGACGAGAATCTCGAATTTGTTTGTTGTCGGTTGACGACGACTAGAAAATAGATGATTTTTTTAAAATAAGTTTTATAAATTTTTACATAATATCTCAAATTTTAAAAATTTTCGTAATACATCTTTTTTTAAATGACAATCCTATTTTACTCCTGTCTTTGTCGGATCTATCACTATCTCATTCCTTGCCCGTGGTCGACGATAAGGGGGCCAACCTCCCTGCACCACCCACCATCGACTTCTTCATTGCTTACGATCGACGATGAGAGAATGTAGGTAGTCCCTTTTTCTTTTTGACTACATGAGCAACAATGATAGCACGTGGGGTTGGGTCATGCCCCATCCTTTTTTACCTGTGACCTACAACAAGAGTGACTTACGAGCGACGATGATGAAAAAGAGTCATCGATAGATATGAGTTAGACGAGGGCGATGGACAAAGGCGATGCCTAACAGGGATAGTATTATTATTTAAAAAAAAAGAATTTCTATTAAAATTTATGAAAACAAGGTTGTTCTTTAAAAATTGTTCAAAAGTGAATTTTTTTTTCAAACATTCGCTCAAAAAATTTAGCTAGAAAAATATAACACGTCTACCGGCTTTCGCTCGGAATATTATTACAGGGGACCAAAATTTATTATCTTAATTTTCCATAAATTATTCGGATGCCAGTCGATCCAACTAATCGAACATAAAGTTAGTGTCGAGGGAAGCACCCTCGCAACCCACCCTTGTTCTCTAACCATGCGACCTATCTCCATGAGTATAATAACATTTCTTCCGTGACCCCTCGGGTTCGGATGCACGTGCGGGTGTAACTGCTGCCTGCGTTCTCTTCCGCATTCGTAACGGGCAGGACAGGCAAGCGTGGGGGCAGTGGGGGAGAGGTCGACTGAGAGACAGCTGTCAACGCGTAACAGTTCGGTTGTGTTCTTTTTGTCCGCTTCCGATCCATAGTTTTCTACACTGAGGTGTGATAGTAACATTAATAATTATTATGCTCGGCGACATAACCAAAACTTTAAAGAAATGGAGGACGGAAATGCGGAGAGGTCGGTCGCAATTTAACAAAGGGTGGTCCAATCAAGTGGAGATGGGATTTCTGCAGGTGTTTGGCGGTTGAGGCGACCAATTGGCATGGGCTGGACGACAGAGTCAGCAGAGAAACGAAAGGAGGGGGCCGTTACAGAGCTGCCGCTGGTGGGAAGTTGACAGGCTGGAGTGACGGGACGGCAGTAATGATCCACCCTCTGATTTCGAGACGAGTTTTGTCGTCTTCTTCTATCATGCAACGCAAACATTATATAAAACCATTAAAGTCAGAAAAAGACGCGCCCGTCACTGTGCTATCTGACCTCCTCAAATCCAAATCTTAGGCTAACTGATACAATGGGAATATTTACGTGGCAGGGAATACCCAAAAAAAAAAAAAATGCAAGCTGGTGCCAGTTCGGTCCTTGTCAATTGCATACACGAATGAGACCATGAGAGAGAGCCCGCCAAGTGGACGGCTGAGTTGAAGTCCCTGAGAAGGATCATGGGATATTGAATGAAGAGTCCCATCACCGGACGTGGTGCGCGTACCGTCCCCGATATGGAGCTTTAAAAGCGTATGGGGTGAATACGGTCGTCCGTACGGGAACGGACGAGAACAAAGGTATAAATACACTACGGAGGAAGGGGTCGTTGCTTTCATATTTTAAGAGAAAATACAAAAAAAAAGGGAGGGAATTTGAAGAGGGCGATGAAGAGTCGTGTGACGGTTGCGGCGAGTGACTGACGCGTGTCGGTGTGACAGCTGTGTGCAAGCAACCGTTCGCGGGGAAATGGCCGGTGTGCCCAACTCCCTGCGACCGGTTACCTTACCCGGTTGTTGCCGGTCAACCCAACACTTGCCTTATCCTGCCTATATAGCCGGCTGCTTCATCCTCTCATCCACGCTCCGCATTTTCTCCCACGCTCTCTCACGACTGCGGCACTTGCGAGATAAAACACGTACTTTTCTCGATCTACCGTAGGGGTTTGGGTAGTAGGTCGATAAGTGTTAAGCGATATGGCGGCGGCGGCGGCGGCGACGACGGTGGTGAGTAGGTTCAACGATGTGGATCGGATCAAGGGGCCGTGGAGCCCGGAGGAGGACGATGCGCTGCAGAAGCTGGTGCAGCGCCACGGCCCGAGGAACTGGTCGCTTATAAGCAAATCGATCCCGGGTAGGTCGGGGAAGTCGTGCCGGCTCCGGTGGTGCAACCAGCTGTCGCCGCAGGTGGAGCACCGCCCGTTCACGCCCGAGGAGGATGAGACCATCATCCGCGCCCACCGTCGCTTCGGCAACAAGTGGGCGACTATCGCCCGCCTCCTGTCGGGCCGGACTGACAACGCCGTCAAGAACCACTGGAACTCCACCCTCAAGCGGAGGTACTCGGCCTCCGCCACCGCCGTTGCCGTCGATGGTGGGTTCGTCGCAGCGGCGGAACTCGAGCCCGTGCCGGAGCGGCGGCTCAAAAAGACGTGCAGCGACGGGCCGCTCCTCTCGTCGGACGGTGCAGGGCTCTGCTTGAGCCCCGGAAGCCCATCGGAGTCCGATCTCAGTGATTCTAGCTACCACAGCCATCCGATGATCTCTCCGGTCTCCACCGGTTCGCACATCTACCGACCGGTGCCGAGAACCGGAGCCGTCGTACTCCCATCCTCATCCACACCAAACCACCACCATCCGACGGAGCCTTCTGCCGCAGCCGCAGCCACCTCCTGCTCCCCAGAGATCGTAGAAGATCCGGTGACATCCCTCACCCTCTCCCTCCCTGGATCCGATCCGATGGACACCTGCAATGACCGCCACAGCGCCGACAACGACGGCAACGGTCAGAAACCGCTCGAGCTTCTTCCATCTGTGCCGATGCCCCTGCAGGCGCGGCCATCGTCTTCAAAGACGAGGTCCGCCGAGGCCACCGGTGCAACCCCCTGTTGTAAGGAAGAACAGGGGTGGCACGCGCCGTGTCCCTTCGGCGCGGAGTTCTTGGCGGCGATGCAGGAGCTGATCCGAAAGGAGGTGAGGAGCTACATGTCCAGCTTGGAGCAGAGCGGTATGATGTGTACGCGGTTTCCACTGCCGCCGGAGAGCGTTCTTAATGCCGGTATTAGGCGGATCGGCATCACAAAGATCGAGTAGAAAGGGGAAAAAAAAGGCACCGATGCTTCAAGACAATCGTGGAGTAGAGATTTTCTCCCTTTCTTCCCTAGTCAAAATGACTAAAAGATGTTTATCCTTCCGTTTTTTGCTTCTTAAATCTGCAAAGAAATAAAAGAGCTGGGTGAAATGGTTCCGTGTACAGACAGGCGTGAGATGAGATTGGTGGAAACGAAAGAAAAGGGAAAAAAAGCTTCGTTGAAATTTGGAGTATTATCTGTCCATCTGCCGAAAATTAAGTTACGTAGTGAACCAACAGCAAATTGATTGTTCCCGTGTAGTGAACGAGTGTTAGGCCGCCAAGAAGTCGCCTTCAGGATTGATTGATTCGACTGGAAGTGATGGAGGAAACGGAACCGTCTTGACGCGATCCTGGTGATACATCGCAACGACCATCAGTGAATTCAAATCAAGTGATAGCAGATAAGAACAAACTTATCTTAATGATCGTATAAACACAGTTAGGTTGCGGGTATTATCCGTCATTTTCAGAAACGGTTTCGCAGAAAACAGGTTCGACGACAAAGAAGCCGAACGATATAGTAGAAATAAGTCCTATCCATTATCTCTCAAAGCAATATTTTTTCTATACGAAAAACCATGTCAAGTAAAGAGACAGGCAATTGTATGTGACTGCAAATTGAAATCCGTCCGATCGATCTAATGCTACTAGGGGATCAAAAACCAGAAAGAAACAAAGCACCTGACCGGAGCGGAAAGAAATTGAATCCGTCGATGGAGATTGAGATCCCATTAAATATGCCATTTACGCCGGTTCGGCGACGGCGTCGAACTGTCCCCGCAACCGTCGGCCAAGCAGCTGCCAAGGAATTCGACCGCGGAAATGATGAGATATAAGGGAGGGAAAGGAAAAGATGCGTCGCCCTAAAAAGGAGTGTTTTGCGAAAGGGGGATTCTGGTCCGGGTTGGGTCAGACCTGCCCGCTTGAACGGCCCCTTCAGGCTTCACCAGTTATTGTTTAGGTTCAGGTTCGAATCCAACCGCATCCGCTGATCCCATCCGTAGTTCATCACCTGCCAATGACGGAAACAGAGGACGGGCGGACGGACGGAAACTGGAGCCATGAGGACCGTCCACCGCAAGGGGAGTCATCGTAATGATCCGTGCTACCACCGATCTGCGGCGTGGATCAAGCGCACCGCAACGGAGGCTAGCTTCCCCGCCTCGTTTCCCTGCAGGAATCTTGTTTCTGTTACACCACGGGAGTCGGCAACAAAAAGGCAAAGGGGCAAAGAAGACGACAAGGGATCGCGTGCCCTTCCATCCTAGGCACCGATCGGTTCTTCTTCTTCTTCTTCTCTCCCGTCGTCAGAGAGGGGAAATACATTCACCGGTACAGCGATGGCGAGGTGCCCTGGGTGGGGGAAGCTGCCGCGGTCGCCTGCGCATCCTTCGCCATCCCCACACGTCGATGACGACGACGTCGTCGGCATCGGCGCCTCCGCTGGCGGGCGCAGAAGCATCTCCTATTGCCGCCTCCCCGAGCAGCTTCTCCGCCTCTCCGTCCTCAAATTGGATGGCTCCTCCTACGGTACCTTCCGCTACTTTCTTTGACCTTTCCAGAAAGTGCATGTTCTTCTGGATCTGTCGTTGCCAAACCTCAAGGCTGCGATGTTGGCAGAGGTGGAAGTCGCAAGGACAGCTTCCGTGGCGGAGCTGAAGATGGAGATCGAGGACATCTTCAGCGAGTCCCCCGACGACGGAGGTTGCTGCATTTCTTGGTACAGTTCGATTCGCCTCTCACCGGATGAACTGTCGAAAGAGAGAGAGAGAGAGAGAGAGACACTCCCAACAGATGTATTTGGAGTCCATAACGTTTGCGGTGGTGATGGCAGGTCTCATGTGTGGGGTCAGTTCTGCTTATGCTACAAGGAGCATAAATTGATTGATGATGGAGCGTCTCTTCGCAGTTTCGGAATCAGAGATGGAGATCAGGTCTCATGTGCCTTACGTTCGACCGCTGGAAATTAGTAGGCCATGTTGTCTTCACACGACTGACCACTTCGCTTCCCTCCGTGCAGCTTCATTTCATAAGACATCTTTCACCGAACCAGAAGACTAACCGGAGGAGACTCAAAAATCGACGAACAGAGACCGTTGAGGAGAACGGCAAGGGTAAAGACATCAGACGCCGCGGTTATGTGGATGAACAGCGTCAGGATCATGACCAGAGAGATTGGAGTGCCCCGCACACACAACCCAAGTTGGGGAGTTTCTTCCGACGATGGTGCTCTACACCGAGTCCTGGTAAGACAAAACCAGAGAGACAGAGTAAAGTTATCGGCAAAAGCAAAAAGATTTGCTGGGCAATATGTAGGTAATCCAGCAATACCAGTTGTATGGTGATCGCTAGCGGAATTGCTTGTCCTCCCAAAATAAACATTGTGTTTCTTTGTGGCAATGACTAGTACTTGGGATAATAATTTGTAAGGTAACTATAATTGAAGATAGTTACCATTTGACAGCTAGCAGTTCATAAAAAAATTTAATAATTTATCATAAACTTTTGGACTCCAATCCCACTTTCATCATTCATTCTTTGCACACAAAAAAGAAAAAAAAGGCTATTCTCGTTGCAACCTATAAACTTCCTATTGCTAACAAGATGATCAAAATAATGATCGAATGTAGCTTCTTATCAGTTTCGACTATAACAAAGGTACTATGGTCCTCAATTCTTTCCCAATAAAAAATAAACAAATGCAATGCATGGAGTATTTGTCGCAACATAATCTTCTATCTAATTGTTATGACATGATGTCGATGATCACCCTTGAGCCGAATGGACCACCTTGTCCCCATACTTAATGTTTCATATTCGTAAGAGAAAAATAGACATCGATAAGTGCCTACACTTACGATCCCTTTTCAAAAAACAAGAATCATGCGACATTTGTATTTTTCCAATCTAGACCGAAGTCTCACATTGTAATATGATGCATTCATTTCTATCGCCTATTTGATTTAAAACATGCTGAAACAGAACAATTTCAGGTACTTGCAGCATTGTTGTGCCTTCCATACAGTCGATATAAACCGATCTAAATGACAAGTGTTTTAAAACATATTTAATTTAAGATCCTTCGAATGATAAATTCCCAAAGAAACACATATATAAACTATGATTGGAAAACAAATAATTTGTGCCCATAATGTTACGGGACACTAGGAAACAACAAGTATGGCAGTACTCAAAATCTTGCAAAATCCTTTCCATGAAAAACAAAAGAACATATTTGAATGATAAGATTCAGCAGGAAGATGTGTAAGACTAATTGAACAATAAATTCCTGTAAAGAACACACACACACACAC